TGCATTCGTCATCGCTGCTCGCCTCAGTTTCACTCTTCTCGCTCTACCTCTGCATAGCCCTCGTCGCTTTTTTCCCAATGTTTGCTGTGGTTTTCTCCGGATATTCTTGTATCATGACATTATCGTTGATACTTCACATCTTTGTAAGTTTCATTTTGATTGATAGAAATGTTAAGTTCCAAACTTATTTGCGGAAATCTAAATTGTAAAGCCTTTCTGCCATTTTTAACTCAAAGTAGAGGTCAGCTCTCTGATCTATTTTTGAATGAAGAATTTCAAAAAAAAAGGAAAAAGAAAAGAAATGGAATTTTACGATAACCGACTTTGTTTTCGAGTTTTCTCCACTTTTTATTTTAAATATTTCGATTTCCAATTTTCTAAAAATTAAAAAATTTAACTTTGTGTTGGATAGGCATGCACACAAACTTATTTTGAAAAAATCGTTATCGGTCTTTGTTTTAAAAATTCATTACTCATATTTGAAATCATAGCATGAATGAGATGTCACATTCCTCTAGTACTATATTTTTCATTAAAGTAAAAGTTACGCAAATTTCTATCGTTAAATTTTAAAGATAGTGGATTTAGCACAAAATTGTGATGTATTGCTGTAGGGGTATGTAGGGGTAAAAAAATGCGAATTGCATCTTTCAAACTTCTGTGATCTTCTTTTAAGATTTATCTGATAAAAGCATATATACAGTATGCTTACCGTATGCAAGGTAAAGGAAAGCATGACTTATCGGTACCTCCTACGACATAACCTCCGTTCCCATCTTTTAAGGCCATTTACAGTAGCACACTAATGATTTGTAAGTTTCAGATGACATGAAAAATGCAGGGGTTGTAATTAGTTGAGAATTTTAAATTAAGCGATCACATCATTTCTATCAAATTATTTTAAATGTAATGATTTCTAGTTGCTAGTTTTAGCTGGAAATCATACTTATTTCGTTTAGTGTATTCTTTTTGGTATCGGAGTCTTTCTTGTTTTTGGCATAAAAGATGTGACCTCGTTCCGTACGATAGTTCCCTATGAATTTACGATTTCGGACAGTGTCCTCTCACTTTTCGTCGGTTTTGTCGTCTCTCTCTACCAGCTTACTTCAAGTCCACTGCTTTATCAGGTAGGAATTACGTTCTCTGCCGAATGATTAGAGTTTTATATCAAAAACCACCGTTTTAGGCTTATTTTCCCATTCCCACGCTTCACAAACTGCGACTTACATTGGCTTTCCATGGTGTATTCCAGCTGTTCTCGTCCATCCTAGTTTTTGTCACTATTTCGCTCTTCTACGCGTTTCTAGAAAGCAAATGCTCACTTAGCTTTTCGTATCAAACGCTATTTGTATTTGCTAAGGTGGGAATAATGCATTAAAATTTTTTTAAAGATTTTAAATTTATAATCAGACGGAACTTTTGCAGTCATTAGAAACAAAAGCTAAATGATTGATTGGTTTGATACAACAGACTCGAGTTTGGTTTGTAAGGTACAGTATCAAAATATAAAAAATGCATTTAATTGGAATTATTCTAAAAAACTTTACTATTCTGGGTAACAACTGAACGCCCTCACGTACTAAGTTAGAGCTTTTCAGCATATGGTTCCTCATCCAGCTTTAGCCTATGCTGTGATTGTTTCATTCCTCTCAGTTTTCACATTTTCCATCCAATGGTTGTATATGTGCATCACCACTCATATATGGGAGGAGTTTGTGAAGGTATTATTTTCATTTTTTAACGCTTGCTTTATTTTCCGAAGTGAAGAGATTAATGTACACTTTATCTCAACAGATGAAAGATTTGAATTTCTTAAAACAAACTTTTTCTACCTTATAGGACTGTAGCAGTACGCGAAATACTGCTAAGTGAAATCGTAGTCCGTCATTTTTCGAATTATTCGAAATCCAAATCTGAATTTTTCAAATTGTTGAAAATAGTATTCGCTGATTATAACATCCCCTTCGCAATAAACCGTATGTTCAACATTTACAGAACTGATCCTTTTCGCTTGCGTTGATGTCTTCCTCCTTTGAGCTATACACTTTAAAAATAATCCTGAATAAGCAAATTAAATTACCATTGACATCCTACAGTAGACATCGATTATTCAACAAACTTGCGAGCCAATCGAGCATCACATGGTTTCGTGTTTGAATT